TTTGCACATGCTGTGATTCTGTCTGCCTGGAATAGATCCCCTATTAGTTATAAAGTATTAGATTAATGTCTGTCTCCCCCACTGTACTTCAAGCTAGGAACTGTGTCCATCTCTGCCTTGTAGCCCCAGCATCTAACACAGTGGACTCTTTCACTAAATATTTATGGGATAAAGAAAGAAAGGACGGAGGGGTGGATGGATAGAAGGAAGGAAGTTAGTTAGCTGTCAGTCTAGAATACCCACCAATGTTTAACTACCTTTTCTCCCCTCAGCTGAGACTGTCATCTTCATCCTACTCAGGAACTAAGGCTAGAACCTCATGCTGCCAGGAGACCAGTGAGCACCCAGTGGGCTTTGTCATTGAGCAGTTTGCCTCCAGTGGGTAAACGCGAATTGAGGAGGACAGTGAGAGCAAACTGCTCTCTCCTTTATAGACTTCCAAAACTGAGACTAGGCACATCCTGTCAGTCTTGGCTACCAAGGTGGTTACAGGAAGTGAGCAAGTATCTGAGAACTGCAGAAGCCCCAGGGTCCACTGCATGTTCGTACAGGGATGGCCCTAAAGCCGCTGTGTGTCCATGCAAGGATGGCCCTAAAGCCGTTGTGTGTCCATGCAGGGATGGCCCTAAAGCCACTGTGTGTCCATGCAGGGATGGCCCTGAAACCACTGTGTGTCCATGCAGGGATGGCCCTGAAACCACTGTGTGTCCATGCAGGGATGGCCCTAAAGCCAACTTAACAGCCAAGAAAGGGTCTGGAGCTCTCAGGCAGAGTGGCCATGAGGCATTGTGGTTGGAATCGGGGGCAGGATAGGTCAGGTGCTCACAGCACTATATATGGTAGTTCCTTGATATAATGGATAATACCAATTTGTGTTCCAATCTGTAGTTTATACCAAGGATAAAGTTTAATTTACAAAATAGTTATACTACTAATAAGTAGTAATAAAATAGAACAATTGTAACAGTACTCAGCACAAAATTTAAACTCATGGGTTATTTCTTACTAGGATTTTCCATGTAATATTTTTGAACCTTGGTTTACTGTGGGTAACTGAAACTTCTCAAAGAAAAACCGCGAATAAGGCGGGGACTACTGTGTTTGGCTTCTTTTAGGATTTCGGGAAGACTGTATTCCATAGGGAGTCTTGTCTTTGTTTTTGCAAAGTATACTGGTTGTAGTCAAATGGATCAGGGTTCAAATCCTGGCCCATCATTTACAACCTTTGCTCCCTGGGAGCCTCAGTTTCCTTATCCAGAAACTGTAGAGGGAGGGGATCAAGTAGCACTCCCCTTTGCTGTCATTGTGAATGTGTGCAGAGTACTTGGCATGAGCCTCCCTGTGGAAAGCACTCAGTTGCATCAGCCACTGTTTCTGTTGGGTAATGTGATTATCACCATCATAGCATCATCTTCCCAGAGGAGAAGGACCAGCTTAATGCATCAGATATTTATATGGCTTTCACAGCATACTGGGACATATGAGGACACTGTCATTAAAGATGTACACAAGGAAGTTCCTAGTAGCAATATTTTAAGCACCTCAAGCTGGAAATAGTCCAGGTCCCATTGATAGCAGGAGAGATAAATAAACTCAGTATAGCCACATAGCGGGTCACTCAAGAGTGACTGGCGTGAATATGGTGGTTCAGACATGCTATGGTGGTTAGTGATTACTGGACAATGGTTAGGGTCAATCACCAGGACTTGTGGCCACATGACGAATCTCTCAAAGCATAACATTAATGGAAGAAGCCAAAAGAGCACATGCTGGGTGATTCTGCTTGGATGAAGTTCAAACACAAGTGAAAACGTCTATAATATCAGAAGTCGGGTAGTGTAGCCTCTGGGGGGGAGGGGAGGAATTTTACTCAGGAGGCAGGGCACTGGGAATACTTTGCGTCGTGGTATGCACGCTGGGCACTCGGGTGTGCCCACTTGGCGAAAGGTCATGGAGTTAAACATCCTTATTCGTGCACGTCTGTATCTAGGGTATGCCTCAGCTGAAGGTTTACTAAACAAGCAGGCCTATTCAAGAGAGCTGAAAGCAAGGAATATGATCCCATGCTTCCCCACAGGGGCCTCGAAGGCTACAGTGGAAGGCAGACAGGCGGACGGCAGACAGGCGGACACAGGCACCGTGGTATGTCAGACAGTATGTAGGGACACCAGCAGTGATAGAACTGTACCCGGTCCAGAAGCACCAGAGGGGGATGTGGTCAGCCATCATAGCCACCATGTGTATCTGTCAATGCCTCACTTTTTGTGTGTGTCCCCCGAAGGGCCTGCTTTTCCCATCTCGTCCCACACATGACTAAGACATTCAGTTGTAGGAATTCGGCTCGCATGTGTCCGCTCCCCACTTCACCACTGCCAGCGCCTTCATCTCAGCCAGGCATCTTTGGGACAACACTGAAAACTGGTTGAAAATGTGTTTATTTAAGACTCTCTTCATGCCATTCTTTAAGCTACTCTCTATTACCCAGATCTACTAAATTATAATCTTTGGATTGGGTCCTATGAATTTTTAAAAAGTTGTCTATATGCGTCTGGTGCACCCAAACTTGAGAATCACTGGCCCCCTAAGCACCAGAGCACACCCCTGATCTTCACCCTCTCCATACAAAAAATAGACCTGAGCCACCAGGACAACCTGGATGGACCTGCATGTCCCACTGTCTCCAAAAGATGTTTTCATTTTCATTTCTAACATCTTCTACATCCCTGATAACCCTGCCCTGTTTCAAATCTGCCTCTGATCCAAGCATGTCAAGCCAATTCTCTTTCCCCTGCCTTGAATTGCTTAGATTGTCCCCACCCTTACGGGCCTTCTAATCCTCTCATCTTTGAGACCCAGTTCACACATGGTCTCTGTGTAGCTGTGCTCAATATTCCTGAGTGCTCTGGCTCTGCCCAGCCCCTAGTACATACCAGCATGAGACCACTTCCCTCAGATGTCACTCTGTCCTATCCAACTGTCCACCTCACCCTCCAACTCAAGGGCAGGCAGCTCATGTTGGCACCCTCAGGGGATAGCACCTGCCTAGAACATGTGAGAGATCAAGGATGGGTCTTGAATGAATATGGTCCAGGGCTCCTCAAACTTTTCAAACAGGGGGCCAGTTCACTGTCTCTCAAACTGTTGGAGGGCTGGACTGCGGGCCCCAGGATGAGTCGGCTGCTAAGCAGGACAGGCAGTGGCGGCAAAAACACCCAGCAGGCCAGATAAATGTCCTAGGCGGGCCACATAGTGTGAGGACGCCTGGTATGGCCCATCAGCACAATCAAAGTGGCTTGGGTTTAGGAGGCTTGCTGTGGGACTAAGATAGAGTCTGTACACTGTGGGGTGGGAGGTGGTGAGGTCATCCAGAGACACCCCAAAGTCTAAGCTGTCCAGCCTACTCACCCACTCATGTTTCTTCCCTTATTTTGTTTTGTTTTCCCAGTGACCTTCAGTGACTGTAAGGGAAATAACAAAGTACGCTATGAGGTCTCAAGCCCATACTTCAAGGTGAACAGCGATGGTGGCCTGGTTGCCCTGAGGAACATAACTGCAGTGGGCAGGACACTGTTCGTCCACGCCAGGACTCCCCATGCGGAAGACATGGCCGAGCTCATGATCGTCGGGGGAAAAGACATCCAGGGCTCCTCGCAGGTAACACAACTGTTTAAAATAAGACAAGTCCAAGGAGGAACATTAGATTCTGTCTGCCTTATGTGGAAAACTAGTTTACAGTTTATTACTGGAAAGATTGGCTAAGGTTCTTTTTGTTATTATTATCGTTGAGAAAGACAGAGCCCAACTCAACGAAAGGTGAGGAGGGGAGAAGGGTGTTTATTGACTCACGTAGTTAATATATGTCAGGGATAGCTCTGTCTTCGGGCATAGCTGAGTCCTGGTAACCAAATGATGACGTCGCTTTGGTCCCTGTATGTCTTGGGGTCTCATTTTCCGTCTGTTGGCTTCACATTGAGAAAGTCACATCACTCCTTAATCTGAAGTCACCCCAGCCGTCTTCCTGATGCTAACAAAAACTTAGAATGGAATCTCACAGGCTGTCTGTCCTTGGGCCACGTGCCCATCACTGAGATAACCAGTGTTCATTGGGTTGGGAGGCTCTGTTTGGCCAAGTCTGGGTCACTTGCCTTTTCCTGGAGCCAGGGGAGAGTCAGAGTAGACTGAGAATGAAAGAAGGGGAGTTACTCAAAGTAAATTAAAGTGCTGTTTTCAGAGCAAAGGGGGTGGCTGTTGGGCAGATGAGAGCCACAGTAGACCCCTGGAGCGTACAGCAGGATGCACTGTGCATGAGGCTCCTGCAAAGCTCCAGGCTGTCCCTTTTCAGGTGCACAGCCACGCTGACCCCACACTCCCACGCCCGTGCACACGCTTTGTGGCTGTCACACGCCGCCATTCAGCCTCCCTTGTGTCATTCAGACACTTTTTGCTGCAGCTGACTCACATACTCTTTTCCAGACTCTGGCTTTTTGAGTAAAGGAAGGCGGCATCCACAGCAGGATTCGCACAAAATAATGACAAGAACACCGGTGTGCCCCAGCTTGGTGTGCCTTGTTTTTTCTTCTACCTGCTGGCCCGGTTTTCCTCAATTTTTCAAAGCCCATGATTCTCATCATCTCTCTCCATCTGCTGCACTCCCCACAGCCCTACCCGATCTGCTCCTTTTGTGCTGTGGTGGAGTTATCACGGCTTTCCCAGATGAAGTCCAGGGGCCACAGGACTAGTAATGTGACTGCAGCCTCCTGCCAGTGCTGTCTGCATGACTGCAAAAACACCATGTAACTTCGGTATCTGAAGACTAGAGGGTTGAACAGTTTGGGCTGGCAAGCAGGGAGCTGTGTGTTACCCTGTTCTGTCACCACCCTAGTGGAGGATATTACTAACTGGCTCGGCCTCAGTGTCTTTCCCAGTGCAGTGTTTCTGGGAGGAAGCTACCATCTATTGATCATTTTGAGATGTTTCTAGGGAATTTATTTGCCATCCCAGGACTGGACAAGCTCCATAATTCCCCTCCATATCCGTGAAGCTGTGAGTTAAGGGGTAGATCACAACCTAAAAATGAATCCATAGCATGTCAGTAACATTTCAAAGAAAATAGGATATTGATGAAGACAGACCAGTGTGGGAACACTGACACAGCCAAGGCAGGCTTCTCCTTCACTTAGCCAGGACCAGTTTTCACAGCATCTCACTAACGCGTGATAGAAAAGACTTGGTGAATCTCTAAAGCAACAAGGCTGCTAGAATGAGAGACGAAAAGAAATACTACTTAGGAACACGTAAATGGTACTGAGATCCATGTAAGAGGGGGTGTGTACATGGGATTCAGTGTATCAGGGTAGATATTGTTTATCAAGACTGCTGACTCATCTTCATATCCGGAAAAAATGATGTTATAGTATTTTGCTTGAAAGAGAACAGGTGGGATTCTGGGAGCTTCTGAGCCCCTCCCAGCTTGAGGGGCCGGGAGACCCAAAGGTCATTACACAGGGCCCCCTCCGTGGGGTGCTGGCCTCTGGCGTTCTCATGAGATGCACAGCCCCTCTGAGCCCCCACAGCTTCTCATCTGCTGCTGTCTGAACACACCATCGACAAAACTCAGCTGCAGCCGTCTGCTTCTCACAAAGCACGCAGAGGCCCCCAGACTCCAGCAGGGGCCTCCAGGCATTCGTCTCCCGCCTCCAGAAAATTTATGAAAATAGGCCTTGTGAAGATACCCAGATGTGTTCATAATAAAGAGCCCTAAACACAGAAAAACAAAAAGGGAAGGAAAACAAAATAGAGAGTAAAAGATCCCTCTGAAGGAGGCACGGACTCGGAGAGTTCTCAGCTGGTATTCCCAGGGCAGCAGCCGACACAGAGTGAGAGTTCTCAGCTCATGTCCGTAGGGCAGTGGCCGACACAGGGCTCACCGTGTGCTGCTCTTGCAGCTGCAAGGCCTGGCTCATCTAATCCCCTTTGCCACTCACAGGCAGGTGCTCCGTCCCCATTTTACTGATGGGGAACTGAGGCACAAAGAGGAAAGTGACTTGTTCAGGGGGTGTCCAGTGAATAGGGAATGGCATGGAAATGAGACTTGAACCCAGGCAGTCTGGCTCCTGAGTCTGTGCCCCCAAATAGTCCACGTCGCTGCCTTTTCTTTCTCTCAACCTTCCTAATGCTGCGAACCTTTAATACAGTTTAAAGGGGTCACGATGCACAGGTTGAGAACCGCTGCTCTAGGGGTTTGCTTGAACTAGACTGTGAAGGATGGGTCTATTTGGTTAGGAATGTCCCACAAGGGCATGGGTCATTATGAAAGTTTTGAGATATACAAAATCAAGAAATGTTAAACACGTGTTTAACAAATGCAGCCCTCCTAGCAACAGCGATGAGCCCAGCAAGTTGACACTTGCGGGAGTGAATCAGAAAGGATGCTGTTGACTGTCTTTCTTGGGAGTGAAATAATGGACCATAACACTGTCTCAAAATTTTTGCAGTGGCCCATGTATGTCTCCTGAGGGAATGTCTAATTGCTTACAAGGTGCATCTCAGCCTTGTGGCCTTCGGCAAAGTGCTTTGCCTCCTGAGCTTCCATTTAACTTTGATTTTTCATCTGCAAAGTGAGGATGATAATCTACCATTTAGGGTCTATCATCATGGTAGATGATAATCTATCATGAGGGTTAAATGGGACAGTCATGCCACATGGATGGCACTTAGCTGAGGCCACAGCCATGACCAACAGCTGACGCTTGCATGCTACTTACTGTGAGCTGAGCCCTGGGCTTATCCATGTCATTCGCCTCACAGCAGCAAGCTGAGGGAGGCCAGGACTGGTGCCATGATCACCTGTATCTCGTGGGTGAGGAGACTGGATGCAGGTGGCTGTCCTTTGCCCTGGTCATGTAGTTAGTAGGTGGCACCAGAGCCCCTCGTCTCTACCAGTAAGTTCAGTTGTGGAGGCACTGAACTTGGGACAGAGCAAACGTGCACACATGGTCACTCCCACAAACACAATTAAAACAGAGGCAGGACCTGCGACCCAGAATGACAGGTGACCAGAACAGCTCAGTGTCCTCTCAACTTCCCCTCTTCCTGTGACTGAAGCAGATGGAATGTACCCATAGCTGCCTGTGAGCTCTGGCCCCTAAGGTCTGGCTGCCCCTTTGCATTTCTCATCATGTCCGGCATCCATCCGCACAGCCCCTTGGGACTGGTGAAGCTGGTTTGCAGTGAGGGTGCATCTTGTCTCTCATCCCCAGCCAGGAGCTCTGCCATTCCCAGAGATAATTTGGCTCCACCTTGGGGTTTAGGCTGCCTGTTCCGTATTCCCAACAAAAGCCAGGGTCTGACATCCTAGGGTCTACCTTGCTGGGTCAGGGGAGGCTGAATAGAAGGGTAATGCAAACTAAAAAGATGGAAACAGGTAGGTAAATAGGACAGAAGTAGCCTTTGAAAACCAGGAGGAGGGATTTTAGATTCACATGGCAGGGAACAGGGAGCCATTGCTGGTTTCTGCCGAATAAAAATAATCTTCAGGGGAATTCATCCAGGGTTCTGAGCTGGAGTAGGGAGGCTAGAGCTAATAGTTAAACAAATGGCTGCCACTATTTTGAAGAACCATATCATAGTACTTTCTTGGGTGTGTGCATTTCGTTATATGCTTGAATGTTCATTACTTCTACTCCTCACAAACTCCGCGTGGAATTGCTGATGTTATATCCTTGTAGATGTGAGGACTTGGCCGAGAGCCCTTAACTTGAAATTAACAGAGCGAGATTCCGTCCAGCCTCTGGTCCAAACCCATTCTCCAACCTGCCTCTTTGCTCCCCAGGTGGCTGTACCCTCTGGGTGTAGAGAGGAGCCATAAGTTAGAGCCACATAGCAGCAATGGAGGGAAAGACAAGTGGAAGAGATGGCTTGGAGGATGAACGGGCCAAGATCCAATGTTGATTCCAAATTGTCTGGAGGGTAGAGGTGATTTGGACCAGTCAGGAAAGGAATGGTTGGGAAAGATGTCCGTACAGGCCTGAGCGTGTTGAGATGGAGGCTCCTAGAGACATCTTCATAGGGGGTCGAGGAGTTAATGAATGATATGGGACTGCCTCAGAGGGCATAGACTGAAGAAAGAAATGCTTAGTGCTAAGAGTCTAGGCTTTGGTTTGAATGTGAGTTGATTCCAATTTCTGCTCCTCCACTTCCTAATTGAGTGACCATGGGCAAGTCATCAGCTCTCTGAACTCCAATATCCTCATCTTTAGAACAGGGATAAGAATAGTCTACATCACAAACTTCTGTTGGGCACAGCACCAGACATCAAGTGACAGGTCCCGTTGATGGTATTTTGGAACCTTTAAAGTTAAGATAAGAAACTGAGGGTTAAGTATATTCACTGAGGCCGTGAGATGGAAGCCAGAGATCAGTGCCAGAAGAATGTGAAGTCAAAGAAAAGAAAGAGACAGCATGCTCAGAGAGGTAGGTGGGTACCCAGTGTCACAAAAACAGGAGACACGACACAGCTGCTCATCTCACATCACTGTACTTTGGAAGGAGAGGTTCTCTAAGACCCGTGTAACCACCCTGAAGCCCAGTTGAGCTATAGCAATGGGAGCCTGGCTCTCCTTTAATGAAAGGATGCATCTCTCTTATTTTTACCT